AGCCAGCTCCAGGCAGCTCTAGAAGTTTCTAAGAAGCAGCAGGACCGGCAGGGTACTGGTGGGGACTTCCCCACTCCATCCCAACCTGTCCCCAACCCCACAAGAAAGAGAGGGCCCGGAGGGTATCAAGCCCGGGACCCCCTGCCCTGCGCCTCCCGGGGACAGCCCAGCCCAGCTCCCCCAGAGCCGCGTAGCTCCCAGCTGACGTCAGCGGCCCCCAGACAGCCCACGGAGGCAAAGTGAAGTCATATGGCCCCACCTTGGGTCCCGGCCAGCTGCTTCCAGCCGCAGCAACCTCCACAAACCCACAGAAAGAGCACACAGCTTCCTGCCTGCTCGGGGCTGGGGGACGGCGACGTGGCAAGGCGGGGGTGGCGAGTCGCGGGGCGGGGGCGCACAGCCACGTCCACAGGCAGCACACGGCGCCTGGCTGCAGGCACGGCGAGTCTCCGGCAAGACTGGATGCAGGGCCCTGGCCCGGGCGGTGGGCTGGGAGACAGAGCAGGAAGCCGGCTCACACGTGCAGCCTGTGGGAGAAACACTAAATGCACGTGGGCTCTCCCTGCCGAGGAGTGCCAGCTGTGACGGCCTCTGCCCAGGGCTGCCGCCGGGGGCACCTTGCACCAGCTCCCCACAGCAGCCGTGGGCTGGACTTGGCCTGGGCTGGGCGGGGTGGGCTGATCCCAAGGGGCATGTGGGGTGTGGGGTGCACCAGGGGGCCTTGGGTCTGTCCAGCCAGAGGGGCGCCAGAGCAAGGGAGAGAGTGACCGCCCCCCAGAGGGGCGTCAGTGGGCCCAGCCTCCCCTGGACACCCCAGCCGGGTCCCCAAGGGTCAGGGAGACAGGCTGCAGGCTGGCCTTGGGGTGCTGTTGGGGTGCATCCGTACTCCCCGAGCCTCTTCCCTCTAATTACGTCTTCAGAGTTGCACGTGGGACCACAGGCCCTGGAGGAAGACGAGGAGCTTTTGGCCTAGGTGATTCTGGGGTGCGTGTTTGTGGGGTCCCTCTTGGGGCGCACACAGGTGCAGCAGCAGGCGGTGACAGTGTCTTCTGAGCGAGGGGCTCCAGGGCGGGGCAGCTGGCTGGGAGCCATTCAGCAGGACACATCGGGCGCTCTGTGGGGCGACCCTGCCCTCTGGTGGTGGACACGGGTGCAGGCAGCGGCCCCTGACCCTGATGGGTCCTGAGTGGGTCAGCGGCACCTGCTGCCCGCCCTTCTTCAGGAAACATGGCTCCTCCAGCGTCCCGATGCCCACAGCCCGAGTGTGGAGACACTGCGGTGCAGGTGTGAGGGCCTCCAGCCTGGGGTAGGACACGCTGCACGCTGCGGGGCCAGAGCCTCCCGGGGTGGAGCCAATGTCCGCGGGACAAAGAAGGTCTGCTGCCCTGGGCAGTCAGGCGGCCACCTCCCGTACGGGCACGGCTGCGCGAGTGGCGCTCTCAGCTGCCCGGTGCAGAGCTCCGCTGTTCCAGGCCAGGGCTCTGAGCCAGGCCCGAGTTCAAGGCCCCCTCTTTGACACTCCGGACACCTCCTGCTGAGGCCCGAGGGGAGGGGCCCTTCTCGGGGCTCGGTGTCCCCCTGCTTCTTGACTCACGTGCCAACGCTCCTGGCACCCAGCCCTCACTGAATGGGTGCTTTGTGGCACACCCCTGGGCCCGTCCTTGTCTCCATGTCCATACCCGCCCCCGGATGGTCTCCATATTGAGCCCCGCAGCCAGCAAGCCTGCCTCTCACTGTCACCTCCAGCCAGAACAAGAAGAGCCGCCTGAGCACTGTGCACCGTCCCCAGCTCCTCCCCGCGCAGCGCTCCATGTCCATCCGGGGCCTCTGCAACGCATACCCCACCCCCTCCCAGTTCCCAGGCTCTCCTTGCTCCTGGTGACCGTGAGCGCCCAGGAGATGGAGGTCCTCCTTTGGGGATGTCCACTGCTCCCTGCTGCGTGCGGTGATGCAGGGGGCAGCTGGCGGGGTCTCTGCATCAGGATGGTGCCTTGGCACCCACCACGCTGTGCCCAGTCATGGGCCCAGACACACGCCAGGAGAGGACCCTCCCAAGGGTCTCAGCCGCCTCAGCTGTGGGGTTCTTCCATCAGGGACTCTGCCACACCCTCCCCTGGCGGCATGAACGGCTGGCAGAGCAGTGCCGCCAGCTGTGAGGTCTTGCAAGGCAGGCCTGGCATCTACTGAGGTGCAGAGCCCCAGCACTGCATGGGCTGAGCAGCAGTCACCTCTCCCAGCGGCCATGGTCACCTGAGCGATGGGGTGGCCTTGTAGGGAGACCCTGAGCCATCGCATCGCACACCCTGCTGGACCTGGACCTTCCCTGGGGCGGGGGTGCCACTGCCCGGTGGGGCGGGTGTCAGGAGAACAAGGCTGTCATGGGATCCAGCACCCGCCCCTGTCGCGAGCAGATTCCTCCCAAGCGCGGTCCTGGGCCACTGCGGCATCAGAGGAGACGGCGCTGCACACTGCAGGTGCACGGAGACACGGACGACAGACGTGGTTGACGGACGAATGGAGGGAGGGACGCATGATGGACAAGTGGATAATAAATGGATGATGGACGGACGCACGGGTGAGTGGAAATCAACAAAACAAATGGTGCAGGGTCACCAAAAGATGGAAAATAGATGGACAGACGAAAGGATGGCAAATCGATGGACGATGGACGGATACTGACAAAAGGATGGCAAATCAATGGCTGAATGACGGATAAACTGATACATGTCTGCATGGTGAAGTGGACAGAGAATGGATGGATGGATGGGCGGGTGGATGGATGGACGAACAGACAGACAGGTGGGTGGGTGGATGGGGAATCCCCGAGTCTTCTCTTCACCGTGGGACCCCCTTCCCACCCCTGCCGCCCACTGACCACTCTTGGACCTCAAGCCCTATTTCTCAGCTTCAGCGGGGTCACAGCCCCCTTGCCTCTTTGTACACGTCCACCTGTGCTGAATCGCCAACGATTCTAGTTCTGGCCAGCTCCCCGGCGGACAGCCAGCCCTCCCTGCCACCCCCAGTATCTACTCTTTATTCCCAAAAGAGAGAGGAAATGACAGCTGATGGACTTTCTGGTGACCCTGGGAGGTGATGGACACAGGGAGACCAATTCCAGGAGGGGGGACCTGCCCATTGCCCTGCCCTCGCCTCCCCACCCCCAGTTCCCCCCTTCCAGGACCAAACTCTCATCTCTGCACACAGCCGATTCCCAGGGTCCCAGCCAAGCATACACAAGGGCGGCTCTTACCCCAGACCCGGCTGCATCAGCCTGGGGTTCCAGCAGTTTCTGGGTGATTCTAGCAGATAGAAAAAGCCCCCCCAAAGGGACAGGGGCCACCGAGGGAAGCGGTCTTATCCAGTGCCTCCAGCAGAGGGCAGTGCTGTCCCACAGGCAGCGGTACCCAGCCTTCACTGAAGGGAGTGGCCAGCTGGCCCTGCCTCCTGCACTTCCTCCAGGGGCTCCGTGAATGGCCCAAAGCACACTGTGCTTGGGGTCTCACTGGCCATCCGCACAGAAGTGGCTTGGCTGCCGCAGATGAGTGCATAGGGCTGGTCTCAACGCCACCCCCTCCAACACACACACACACACACACACACACACACACAGCAACGGCCGGGCAGCCAGCGGTGCACGCCAGAAGCCCACGTGGGACACCTTACACTGCTCCCGCCCTGCCCTGGGGTCCCTGACCTCCCCATCCACCTGTCACTCCAGGGCACTCCCGTCTTCAGACAATAAAGGCCAGCAGGCTGTCCTGGGTGAGCAGCAGCTGGCCACGGGCCTCTGCAGCAGTCACCCCGCAGGACGACTCTGCAGTTCACAGATCCCACCCCACCTGGAGTGCCCTGCCCGGTGGCCCTGCCGGGTGGGCACTGGGAGCCCCAAAGAAGCCGCCCTGCCCTGGTGCCCCTAGACCCCGCAGGAGAGGTCAGGCATGCCCCAGAGGCTGGGCCCAGGACACAGGCGCTGATGACCAGCAGGGGGAGCCCGACTCCGAGCCCGTGGCCTCTCACACTGGCCCTGTGTGTAGTGGGCAGGCAGAAGGTGGGGCCGGCGGCTGGTCCATCCGAGCCCAGCGGTCAGGACATGAATACCTGCCCAGCACAGCTGTGCCAGCCTGGAGGCGGCAGCTGGACACCCGGGGGTCACTGCCAGGGACCTCTCCCTGGGGTGTCCCCTGTGACACCCAGCAGGTTAATGGCCACAAGCGTGGCTGCCAGGCCCCCTCCTGACCAGATGGCTGGTCCCACGTCCGAGGGGTCCTGCAGGCAGCCTCCATTCCAGCTGTCAGGGTCCAGGGCATCAGGGTGCAGCCGCCCCCCGCCTTGACACACTGCTGGAAGGGGGGGTGTGACAGCATGAGGTGCCAGCCCTAAGCCTTGTGCACGCCCCCACCCCCACATCTGCCATCAGTCCTGGCAGAATGTGAGCACACGACCAGTGTCTGACCGAACATTTGCACACGCGTGGTAACCATCTGTGTGCGTGGGTCTGTAGCATGCGTGTTGGTAGTGAGTACACAAGAGCCGTGGCAGCCCTCGCCCAGGAGCGTGGCTGGCTGCGGAGGGGTGTAAGTCAGGCCAGGGCGCCGGGTCCACACCCGGGGCTAGGAGCGTGGCTGGCCGCAGAGGGGTGTAAGTCAGGCCAGGGCGCTGGGTCCACACCCGGGGCCAGGAGCGTGGCTGGCCGCAGAGGGGTGTAAGTCAGGCCAGGGCGCTGGGTCCACACCCGGGGCCAGGAGCGTGGCTGGCCGCAGAGGGGTGTAAGTCGGGCCAGGGCGCTGGGTCCACACCCGGGGCCAGCCCAGCCCACGGACAGCAGGCACACACAGGCCGTGCATCGCCCGTGACAGCACACGGCATCACCACTGGCTGGGCAGCCGGGTGTGCCCCGTCAGGCAGAGGGACGAGCTGCAGCCCCCGGGTCAGAAGCCCCCTCGGGATCCCTCGCACGCAGACCACGCAGCAGAGCCCCACGCGGAACAAAGAACACTGAATATATTTTGAAACGTTCATATTTAGTTTCTCCTCCCCAGACTTTCCCTCCCCGCTCGGCTGCTCCGCGGTTCTGTCCCTTATCCGCCCGGCCCTGGCAGCTGCTGGGGAAGCCGCGTGGGGAAGCCGCGTGGGGAGGTGGCTTCACAGTCAGACACGGCAGCGAGGCCACGGCGGGAGTCCGGGCGGGCAGGCGGTGCCCGAGTTCTTGCACCTGCCGCAGGGAGCTTCGGCCTTGACCGGCAGCATCATCCAAGTACACGAGGGATAAAATTACATTTGTACAAAAATAGATTTCTTTTTTCTTTTTTTTTTTCTTTTAACCTTTCCCGGTGTGTCAGACGTCTCCTCCCGTCTCCACTTTCTGATCTGCCGTCCTTGCCGAAGTTCGGGCTGGGGAGGGAGGGGGCTCCCAGAGCCCGCCGCCGCCAAGCATCTGAAAATAGATGCGTTCTCTCGCCCGGGGCCGCAGGTCCGAAGCGGGGGGCTCCACCGAGGAGGGGGCCGCAGGGACTCACCAACAGGCAGGGATTTGCAGGAAAACGGAAGGGAAGTCTTCTTGATTAAAAATAAACGCGAGACACAGGCCCGACACCCAGGCCCATGCCCCGTACACACCTGCCAACTCAGCGCCTGTCCCCCTGCAGGCCAAGGCCAGGGAAGCCTGGCTTTGCAGGTGCCCCAGACATGGCAGCTGGGACGAGGTGGCCCCAGAGGCACGGGCACGGGGGGCAGGGACTGAGTCTGACACATCCATGTGCGTGCCATCTTTAGAAAATTAAAGATTGTCCCACCAAAATAACAATAATAACAATACTAATTACAAAAGAATCACCATATTTGAATCAGATTGAAGCAGTAGCGAAGAGCTGGTTAAATAAAACCCACACTTGGCTCAACCACGTGGCGAGCCACGGCCGACGCCCACGAAACAGGGCTGGCGAGATCAGGCTGAAGCATGGGGACGCTGGCCGTGCGGGGTGGCAGGGGCTGTGTGCCCAAGGGACCGGGGCCCAGGGCGAGATGGCCAAAGCCCCGAGAGCTTGGCGGGCCACCGCGACGGAGCGGGTCAGCCGGCCGGCGGAGCCCCCCGCCCCAGAAGCACAGCACGCCGACACTGAGCGGCTCGGAGGCGTTCGGCTGCAGAAGGCACCGGGGTCGGGCTGGGGTGTCGGTGGCTGGCAGGACCCGCAGGGCCCGTGTCTGACTTGTCCCCTCAGCGCCCCACAGGCCCAGACATCCTGGGAGCTGGGAGAGCTGGCCAGACGGGAGTCCACGTGGCCTCAGGACAGGGCCGACAGGGGTTCGCACACCTCAGGCCAGCTCGGCTCGGGGACACCCCCAGACGCCAGGACATCGCCCCTCCTCTGCTGCCGCCCCAACTCCCCCAGCCCACAGGACGCCCCCGCCCGGGAGCTGCCCATCCAGAGGGGGGCAGCAGCTGGAGGAGAGGGAGACGACCCCACCCCACGTGGCAAGAGCTGGGCTGCGGCAGGACGCTGGGCAGCCGGGGCCTTCTGTGCAAGAGGCGAGTTCACCCTGAGACAGGCCACATGGCACGGAGGGCACAGGACAGGCCACAGAGGGCACGGGCCACATGGGGCCGCCACGGGCGTGAGAAAAACCCCAGGAACAGTTCGAGCACAAGCCGTCAGCCCGACAGCACCGGGCCCAGGGCCTCTGGTTCGAACCTGGCCACTGGCCGCAGCCCCCTCCACCCCGCGGCCACGGCTGCCACGTGCGATCACGACATGGTCAGCAGCCGTGTTGTCTCCACCCGTGACACACTGCCAGGTCTGGCCAGACCTCGGGCGGGAGACGCCTGGGCACAGTAGCCTGGGCACCCCAGGCTGCACAGGGGCGCATGTGCGGGGAGAAAAGCTAAACCAAGAGACTGACGCCAGGGGCAGCCCCGGGACATGGGGTCCCGTCTAGTTGCCTTTCAGCCGTTCCCCTCCACTCTGAGCAAAGGGAGGCTGCTGGCCTGGAGTGGGGTGGGCGGCGGTCCCACCAGGCACACCTGCCACCACGTGCCCCCTCCTCACACCTGGCGGGCACCCGTGCTCTGAGTGGGCCAAGACCAGGCCCCCGCCCCAAGGTGGGAAGCAGGCCCCCAGAGGTGTCGGACACCAGCGGCAAAGCGAGAGACACCGGCCCCCGGCTCCCCCACCCTGTGACTCCACAAGCTGCCCGACCCTGGGGCTGGGAGCCACGGCTGGGCCTCAGGCCAGTTCTCGCCTCTCCGGCCACCATCCCGGGCCACGGGCAGGCTGGGCCGACACGCCAAGGGCACCGCCGCGGAGGTCCACGCGGGCTGGCAGGGACGGGCTCGAGCTGGGCGGCTGGCGTCCAGGCGGGCCGGGCGCGAGGGCCGGGCTGGCGGGCGGCCTAGGTCATCTGGTGCGGGGCCTCCAGCATCTCCATGAGGAAGGTGTCAATGGGCGTGTCCCCGATCAGCTTGAAGAAGAAGAGGTGCTCCAGGCACTTGAGCCCGATGGAGCGCAGGGCCGGCAGGCGCAGGAGCAGCTTGGCAAACCTGCGGGCGGCAGTGGGGACCGTGAGGGCTGGCCAGGACGGGGGCCGCATCCGCCCACCTGGCCTGCAAGGGTGGCTGGGCCAGGGCGTGTCGGCAGCTGGACACCGCAGTGTGTGCGTGTGAGAGAGAGCGACAGAGAGGGGCCGGGTGCTAGCGGTAACCGAGTTAAAGCAGCGACCCCTACAGACACACGGCGCCTGAGTGCACAGGACGGGGCGGGGGGAGCTACGGAGGGGAGTCACGGGCTGAAGTCCCACGGGAGAGGAGCAGGTGCCTGGCTCGGGGGAGCAGGTGCCTGGCTCGGGGGAGCAGGGGGCCCTTCCCACTCCGATGGCATGTCCCCGGGACACGGGGCGGGTACTGAGAGCTTCTGGGGCTCCCCACTCTTCGGGAGGTTCCTAGGGGAGGGGCCGGATGCCGGGGGCTCTGGGAGCAACAGCTGGGCCTGGGTCCTGTCCCAGCCACCCTCTATGGCAGCCCTCGCCACACGTCCTCATTGAAGGCAGCAGCGGGGCGCAGGGCTGGAGCAGGGCCAGCCGCGGGCCGCTTTCTGCTGAGCTGGCGAGACGGGCCGTGGCTGTAAGCCAGGGAAAACAGGCAGCCGGCCACCCCCTCCTGTGGAAGCCGTCCTCCTCCTCCTCCTCCGGGAAGTTTCACTTTAAACCAAACCAGATGAGGGCTCAACGGGCAGCAGGCCACTTAACCGTGTGCACGCCAGAGCGAGGGAACCGGGGCGGCCCGGACGGGAGGCCGAGTCTACATGAAGCCTCCTGCCCCGATGAGGCACGTGCCCACAAGCGAGGGCCGGCCCCCGGGAGGGTGTGGGGCACACAAGCCCTGCTCCAGCCCTGTGCGCCTGCTGTGTACACACAGGGAAGCCTCTGCTACCCGCTGGTGCGACCCAGCCCTCACCATCAGGGCCTGGGGCGGCCCCAGGCAGGAGCTGCCACGGGGTGCCCTGCCGGGACACGCAGACCTGGGGCATCGGCTCACCTGCCGGGCTGCTCCGGGTACTTGTGTTTGCAGTAAGCCTCCAGTGACGCGTACACCTTCTCCCTCAGCGCCTCCACCTCCGCCGGGTTGGACAGGCCCTTGGAGTCTGCAGGGAGAGGCCACAGCGGTCAGGGTTCCTCGCCTGGCAAGATGAGGGTCCCGGGGGCTCTGAGCCCCTCACCTGGTGGTGGGGGTGAGGTGGGGGGCAGGGGAAGCAGTCCCCAGGCAGCCAGGGCTCCTTGCCCGGCAGAGGAGGGTCCCCAGGTGGTCAGAGCCCCTTGCCCGGCAATGGGGGCGGGTCCCTAGGCAGTCAGGACCCCTTGCCCAGCAGTTGGGGGTCCCCAGGCAGTCAGGGCCCCTTGCCCAGCAGTTGGGGGTCCCCAGGCAGTCAGGGCCCCTTGCCCAGCAGTGGGGGGTCCCCAGGCAGTCAGGGCCCCTCGCCCAGCAGTGGGGGGTCCCCAGGCGGTCAGAGCCCCTCGCCCAGCGGGGCTCAGCGGCCATGAGAGGACCAGGAGCAGGTGACACGGGCGTGGACAGGAGGGCCGTACCGGGATTGAACAGGACGATGGCACGCAGGCAGCCCAGCTCTGTCTTGTCCATCTGCATGTCCCTCATCTTGGACACCAGCTCCGTCAGCACCCTGCAGGTGACAGGGCCAACCCCGAGCTCCTGTCACACCGATGCCACCTGGGACCACGCCCTGGCAGGCGACAGGGCCAACCCCTCGCAGCCCGGGAACCTCCTGACGTGGAGCCAAGGCAAGCGGGGACCCAGGCGTCAGGCGGAGCCCACAGCTCTGCGTCCTCTGGCCCTCACACTGTCCAGGCCCAGTGGGCAGGTGGCTGGGGCCCCACGGGCAGCCCGGTCAGGCACAGCGTCCACAGCAGCACAGAGGACCCCATGTGGTGTTGGCCCCAGTGGGGCCTCCCCGTCCCCCACAGGGCCTCCAGTCCCCCCACAGGGCCTCCAGTCCCCCCCCCGGGCCTCCAGTCCCCGAGCAAGGCCCCCCAGTATCCCCCCAGGGTCCCCAGTCTCCCCCCAGGGCCCCCAGTCCCCCCACAGTGCCCCCCAGTCCCCCACAGGGCCCCCAGTCCCCCACAGGGCCCCCCAGTGCCCCCCAGGGCCCCCAGTCCCCCCCGCAGGGCCCCCAGTCCCCCCCGCAGGGCCCCCCAGTCTCCCCCCAGGGCCTCCAGTCCCCCCGCAGTGCCCCCCAGTCTCCCCCCAGGGCCCCCAGTCCCCCCACAGTGCCCCCCAGCCCCCCACAGGGCCCCCCAGTCCCCCCGCAGGGCCCCCCAGTCTCCCCCCAGGGCCCCCAGTCCCCCCCCAGTGCCCCCCAGTCTCCCCCCAGGGCCCCCCAGTCCCCCCGCAGTGCCCCCCAGTCCCCCCGCAGTGCCCCCCAGTCCCCTCGCAGTGCCCCCCAGTCCCCTCGCAGTGCCCCCCAGTCCCCCGCAGTGGCCCCCAGTCCCCGCCCCACACCTGTCGAAGATGGCGCCCACCCCTGCACTGTGGGCGCTGTTCCGGTGCACGTGCAGCCCCGTGGCCAGCAGGATCCCGTCCTTCACGGCGATGGACCGGTGCGAGAAGGAGGCGATGAGCAGCTCGTTCCAGCCTGACAGACGGCAAGGTCACTCAGCCAGGCCCCGAGCCCCGCCCCCAGAGCCACCTGGCGCCAGGGTCCCCGGGACAGGCGCCCGAGCATGGAGGTCTGGGGACAAAGCAAGGCCCTGGCAGTCTCGGGGTCCTCTGGGACAACGTGGGGACCCAGGTCATCCAGACTTCAACACACTGGACGAGCACCACCGGCCTGGTCCTAAACTCGGGGGCTCCATGTGCCACACGGGGGGATTCCGGCACAGGGTGGAAACAGGGCGGCCTGGAGCCACAGCTCTCAAAACTAGAGCAGGCGGCAAGGAGTTAAAGTAGAGAACAAAACATCGGGGCTCCGTGATGATGGGGTCACGTGTCACCCTGCTCAGTCTCTCCACAGACCACCTCGCAGGGAAACCAAGGACCCCAAAGCTGTGGCCCAGGAGCCTTGAGGGCCAGTCCACGGGCAGGTGGTGGGAGCTGCGTCCGGCTCCTGGCCGACAGGCTCCTGTAACCACGGTGCCATGGGACACTCTGCACCCTCCCGTGGCAGCTTCTGAGACATGGCACAGGGAGCCCCACACAGCTGGGTGTACCCGACCCCATTCCACAGCCTGGTCACCTGAGGGGCTGGGGCAGTGACCAGATCCCCTGAGGCCCCAAAGCAGGGCTGCCTCCCCCAGGCCCCGGATGCAACCACAGCAAGGGGAGAAGCCTGGCAGTGGGCGTGGCACTGCCTCATACAGACCTAGCCAGCAGGTCCCACCTGCCCAGATGCTCCTCAGAGAGGAAGGCAGGCAGCCCTGGGCGTGCATTTATAGAGTGCCGGCCACCACCCCGCCCCAAGGACACGACACACAGGTGTTCCGGAGCCCCGCCAAGCCCATGCCCTCTGTGCCCCATGTTCACTCTGGTCACACCACCAGCCTGCACACTTGGGACCACCCATTGGGTGAGCTGAGCCCCTCAGTGCCTTCCATGTAATGCCAGCATCGTAGGGTGCCAAGCAAGGGGCATGTGGGTCCCAGAACACCCAGCAAGTCAGGACAGCAGGTTGGTCCCGTCCACAGCCCAGGAGCTGGGCAGAGCTCAGCCCATCCTCTCCAGTGGTCCTGCCCCCTCACGTCCCTGCTGGCTACTCTGAGGGACCTGGCATCCACCCCAGTGGCCAGCTCACCCCTCAAGGCCCAAGAGCTCCTGGAGGGGAGCCACTTCCGCACTGGCTTGGAGCACGGATGGAGTCAGGCCACGCCCCATGGCCTGCCTGTCTGCCCCTCCACCCAGAGCCACACCGACTCTCCCAGCCCCTGCCACACCCCGTGGCCTGCCTGTCTGCCCCTCCACCCCGAGCCACACCGACTCTCCCAGCCCCTGCCATGCCCTGTGGCCTGCCTGTCTGCCCCTCCACCCAGAGCCACACGGGCTCTCCCAGCCCCTGCCACACCCCGTGGCCTGCCTGTCTGCCCCTCCACCCAGAGCCACACCGACTCTCCCAGCCCCTGCCATGCCCCGTGGCCTGCCTGTCTGCCCCTCCACCCAGAGCCACACCGACTCTCCCAGCCCCTGCCACACCCCGTGGCCTGCCTGTCTGCCCCTCCACCCCGAGCCACACCGACTCTCCCAGCCCCTGCCATGCCCTGTGGCCTGCCTGTCTGCCCCTCCACCCAGAGCCACACCGACTCTCCCAGCCCCTGCCATGCCCCGTGGCCTGCCTGTCTGCCCCTCCACCCAGAGCCACAGGGCTCTCTCAGCCCCTGCCACACCCCGTGGCCTGCCTGTCTGCCCCTCCACCCCGAGCCACACCGACTCTCCCAGCCCCTGCCATGCCCCGTGGCCTGCCTGTCTGCCCCTCCACCCCGAGCCACACTGACTCTCCCAGCCCCTGCCACGCCCCGTGGCCTGCCTGTCTGCCCCTCCACCCCGAGCCACACCAACTCTCCCAGCCCCTGCCACGCCCTGTGGCCTGCCTGTCTGCCCCTCCACCCCGAGCCACACCGACTCTCCCAGCCCCTGCCACACCCCGTGGCCTGCCTGTCTGCCCCTCCACCCAGAGCCCTTGAGGGCCATCTCTGCTGCCCCGCATCCCTCAGGATAGGCAGGGGTGGAGCCATCCCTGAGCTAGGGGCCCTAATCCTGCAGCGTTGACCCACAAATGGCTCCAAGTACAGTCCTGCCCTAGTATGGGACTACTGTGGGGCTGTGGCTGCCGTGTCCCCCCTTAGGGACACTGCCCAGCAAAGCAGAGACACCAGGCCTGGCAGTAATGCTGACCACAAGCTAACCTGGTGGTCCCCAGCTCCCCTGCGGTGCCAACCCCCAGGATCTGCAGTGCAGAGGGCCCTGTATCCACAACTCACACTGCCCCTGGGCACAGAGCCCCCAGCCTGCCAGTCAGACCCTAGCATGGAGCCACGGAGGGGCTCAGAGGGCTCAGTGCCCCTTGCTTGCAGACCCACATGCCACCCAACCCTATTCCCTGCCAATGTGCCTGGGGAAGCAACAGAGAGCAGCCCAAGTCCGCGGGTCCTTGGACCCACATGCGAGACCCGGCTGAAGCTCCTGGCAGGGCACCGGCTGCTGTGGCCATTTGGGGAGTGAATCAGAAAATGGGAGCTAATGAGTGCTCGCTCACTCTCTCACTTCACCTTTCAAACGAGTGTCAGCTCCCTCCGGGGGCCTTCCAGGGACAGGGACAGCACCCATGGGTGCAGCTGAGCCCTGCAGAGCTGTGGATCCTTGCAAATGAACACTGAGGCAGGAGGAGGAGGGACGGAGCAGCAGGACTTGACCCCGGCACAGCACTCAGCTGCACCCATGTCCCTGTGCACGCAGAGTGGGCAGCCGGTCTCACGCAGACCCTCACGGGCAGGGACACGGAGCATCCACCCGCAGCAGAGACCCCCGCACCCCACAGCTCCTAAGCACAGGGGCGGGGTCTGGGGCCCTGACAGCACTGCCCCACCCGTGGCTCCGTCTCGCCAGCCGGCCTGGTCACTTACCTGCCCGCAGTAGGATGACCTGGTCATCGAGGGGCAGCTCGGAGAAGTGTGGGACCCGCTTGGCCCACTCCACGAGCGTGAAGAGCTGCTTATCGGCCGCCTGGCAAATGTTGGTCACCGGATCGTTGGGCTGCAGGGAGGGAGGGGCAGGGCGCTCAGCCCAGGGCCTGGTGGGGCATGGCCGGGATGCCCACAGGCCCCACTGCAGGGGGATTTCTGCTGGACAGGCAGCCCTGGCAGACCCTGCCTGGGCAGCTGAGAGGCTGGCGACCTAGGCCGCGTGCTGAGTGCTGGGGCGTGGGCCCCTAACGGTGGCCAGGACCCCCAGGCAGGCCCAGGAGTGAGGGCTCAGGGCAGGGGTCTCCCCAAGGTGACACCACGACCTCAGAAGGAGCCCAAGAGATGGCACTCCGGGCAGAGCAAGGGAACCAAGTCAGTGACCCCAACTCTGTCCCATGAGGCCGGCAGGGGAGAGGGGCTCCGTCCCAGCTCGGTACCCTCCCAGACGAAGACGTGGTGGGGTCCACGTCCACCAAGAGTCAGGGCCAGAGGACAACCAGCACTCGCCCATAGCGGCCTGGGGCCAGGGCTGCAGCCCACCCCTGCCTCCCCTCCCCTCAAACCTTCTGAGGGTGGAAGGGGTCAAGGAGCACGGCAGGTCACGTGGGAGCAGCTGGGGTCAAGGTGAGGGCTCTCTGACTGCGGCTGGGAGCTGCACCAACACGGCCCCTCGCCTGTGTCCACTCAAGGGACAGACAGGCCTAGGGATGGTGCCACAGGCTGCCTGCAGCACCCCTCCCACCAAGGGGTTGAGACCCTGACCCCCAAACCACTGGACCCCACAGGGTCACCAGCCAGGACAGGAGCTCATGGCGCAGGCGGCAGAGGCCCCCAGTGCCTCAGCAGCGTGAACAGAGGTGACAACTGGGCGGACAGTGATGGCTGAGTGGGCAGTGAGGGCTGGGTGGCCAGCGAGGGTGAGCGGGCAGTGGTGAGGGCTGGGTGGGCAGTGGTGAGGGCTGGGCGGGCAGTGGTGAGGGCTGGGTGGGCAGCGAGGGCTGGGTGGGCAGTTGAGGGCTGAGTGGGCAGTAATGGCTGGGCGGGCAGTGGTGAAGGCTGGGTGACAGTGAGGGCTGGGTGGGCAATGATGGCTGGGTGGGCAGAGAGGGCTGGGTGGGCAGTTGAGGGCTGGGTGGGCAGCAAGGGCTAGGTGGGCAGTGGTGAGGGCTGGGTGGGCAGTGATGGCTGGGAGGGCAGTGAGGGCTAGGCGGGCAGTTGAGGGCTGAGTGGGCAGTAATGGCTGGGTGGGCAGTGGTGAGGGCTGGGTGGGCAGTGAGGGCTGAGTGGCCAATGGTGAGGGCTGTGTGGGCAGCAGTGAGGGCCGGGCAGGTAGTGAGAGGGCTGGGTAGGCAGTGGTGAGGGCTGGGTGGGCAGTGGTGAGGGCTGGGTGGGCAGTGATGGCTGAGTGGGCAGTGATGGCTGGGCGGGCAGTGGTGAGGGCTGGGTGGACAGTGAGGGCTGGGAGGGCAGCGAGGGCTGGGCGGGCAGTTGAGGGCTGAGTGGGCAGTAATGGCTGGGTGGGCAGTGGTGAGGGCTGGGTGGGCAGTGAGGGTTGAGTGGCCAATGGTGAGGGCTGTCCGGGCAGCAGTGAGGGCCGGGCAGGTAGTGAGAGGGCTGGGTGGGCAGTGGTGAGGGCTGGGTGGGCAGTGATGGCTGAGTGGGCAGTGATGGCTGAGCAGGCAGTGGTGAGGGCTGGGTGGACAGTGAGGGCTGAGCGGGCAGCAGCGAGGCCCGGGCAGGTAGTGAGAGGGCTGGGTGGGCAGTGGTGAGCACCAGGCAGATGGCGGAGAGGGCCAGCGGGCACCCCGGGCGGCACTCACCGAGCTGGGGTTCAGCCCCATGTTCGCCTCCACGTAAGTCTCGGTCTTGGGCTCCACGGCCAGCTCGGCCTCCAGGATCTTCTCCACGGGCATGTCCTCGTTGGCGCTGCTGGTGGACTCCACCTCGTTCTCGTTCCGGTCCTTGCCTCGCTGCCGTTCCTCCTGCACGGCTGCGGACGGGACGCGGGGAGGCGCCCGTGAGCCCAAGGCCAGCCCGAAGCAGCGTCCATGCCAGCCAGCCATGGAGTGCCAGCCATCACGGCCTGGGCCGGGGCAGGAGGCCCCACATGATGGGGAGGGGCTCGCCTTTGAGTCCGACAGGGGGCGACCCTGCAGACTCCCTTGCCCTACCCCTACGGGGCCCTAGAGAAGGGTGGACAGGCTCCTGGCCCTGCCCAGCCACTCTCAGGCCTGGTCCTGCCCATCCAAACACTGTCCATTGCTGTTCCACTGGCCACACCTGTCCCTCGGGCCTGTTGGGGCGGGACCCTGGAGGCAGCACTGGTCACTGGGCCCCCAGGCCCACACTCCCAGCCCAGGCCAGAAAGAACTGGTCAGCTGACTCCACCAGCTGCTAGCCTCTGACCAGTCCTGCAGCTTGGGTCAGGCCTCAAGAAAAGGGTCCTCTGGCCCTGAGGGCAGCCAGGTACCACGACCCTCCCCCAGGCCCCAGCCCACCGGCCTAAACAGCACCAGGGGAGCCACCTGCCCACGCCTGTCGGCCTGCGAATGTCCACACTGGCAGGGTCCAGGGGGCAGGCTGGGGTGTGGACGGTGCTTAGCTCAAGGCAGCTGCCATAGCCAGCAGGTCCTGCCGCAACAGGGGCCCTAGTCCCACCTCCCCACGACAGCCACACCTGCCACCCCGCCCCACGGAGGAGCAGGACAGCTGCAGGACGGGGCGCCCGCAGTCCTTGCCCCACAGGAGGCCTCAGCGTGTGCCCCCTGCTGCCCTACACCCACATCTCTAAGCACCTGGTGCCCAACAGCACCGACTCCCCGACCCACCATGGGCGGGCCAGGTGGGCACCCCGCTTTTCTGTCCCCAGACCCCAGGACAGCACCCTCTGAGGGCTTGTGGGTACTGCCACTTCTTTGGGCCTGGCATGGTGCTGGCCCCTACCCTGCGGGCGCCACCTGGCGGCTGCAGGCACTCTCAGAGGCCTGCCAAGCCACAGACCGGTCCCTCCCGTTCCCCCTGCACACCTGCCCCCCATGGGCTCCGAGGGGTCAAGCTCAGGCCACCTCTTGGCCCTGCCTTCAGGTGAGACAGAGAATTGAAGAAACAGCGGAGGGAGAGGGAAGCAGCCATGCATCCTGGTCCTTCCTAGCCACTGCCCGGGCTCCGCTGGGCCCCCGTGCCACCTGCGTCTGGGCCCTCTCTAGCCACTGCCCAGGAACCCTTGCCCCCCGTGCCGCCTGCGTCCCAGCCCCCTCCCCTCTAGCCACTGCCCAGGAACACTCACCCCCCTGCCCCCGTGCCGCCTGCGTCCCAGCCCTCTCTAGCCACTGCCCGGGCTCCACTGGGCCCCCATGCCGCCTGCGTCCCAACCCCCTCTAGCCACTGCCCAGGGACCCTCGTCCCCCATGCCGCTTGCGTCCCAGCCCCCTCTAGCCACTGCCCAGGGACCCTCGCCCCCCATGCCACTGCAGCTGCCACCAAGCACCAAAAGCCAAGAGCATCCTCTGTCGGCAGGCAGTGCCACATGAGTGCTGTGCCCCCCGCCCCCCAGCACCCCACGGGCTGGCTGGAGCCTGGGACTTTCCATCCACGTGGGTAGATACAAGGACAGAAGGCCCACCTGGCACTTCCAGGACATAGCAGCTGGGCCAAGCCAGGCGGGAGCCCGGAGGCAACGTTTTGCAAGCCCAGCTTTTCTGCTACACCTGATGGCAGGTGGGGCTGGGCAGGAAGCCAAGGGCTGTGGACGGCAAGGAGCTCAGGGAGTGGAGGGGCTGTGCAAGCCAGGCGTCTCTCACCCCTGCTGCACGTGGCAGGTGCTCATCTGGTCTGGGCCAGAGCCACTGGCCATGCCCAGATGTGGGCACAGGGAAAGCTAATGCTGAGGCTTCCGGGCACTCTCCCCTCGCAGGAGGCACCTGCCTGTCACGGTGGGCAGGAGCCACGGGCTGCGGGGAACCTGCGTCAGGACGCTCAGCAGCTCAGAGCTGCAGGCCCTGGGCTCAGGCAGCCTTACCCACTGCCCCCCAGGTGAGGGAAGCTATGACAAACTGCCCTCAGCTGGGGGCAAGCCAGGACAACACCCACAGGACCCCTCCCTGCAACGCCCACCCTCTGCCCCCGGAGCCAGCCCAGTTCTGGGGTCTCTGCCTCTCTAGGAGAGTCCCGGGTGGGCATGGGGGGCTCTGGGCCAGTGGTGCGGGCACCCCAGGGTGCCTGGAGCAGGCGGGTATCGGAAGGGGACTCTTGGACGCCAGCCTCCTAGGCGGGGGCGGCCAAGAATTAATTAGCAAATGTTTTGCGAAGCGCTTTGAAGCTGTGAAGGGCCCGGCGGCCCCAGCCGCAGCATCACAAATATTACCGTGTGATTTACAGCCGGCGGGGGCGAGGGGGGCGAGGGGGGCGAGGGGGACGAGGGGGGGAGGGGGGGAGGGATTTATGTGCTGCCAATTCCATCACCTTCTAGACACAGTCCTGTTTGACTTGTGTTCCGCTGGCGCCGGGGAGCCCGGACGGGAGGTGTCTCTAAGTACAGGGCCTCCTTATGCTCCGGGCAGCGCGAGGAGGTGGGAGGCACAGGCCCAGCTGGCCCGGGCCCCAGGTGCGGGAGATGCACAGGCTTGGGGCTCGGGACTTGGTGCAGCAGCAGCAGCCAGAGGTCCAAACCGCTACACCATCCTCAATGGTGGAGCAGGTGGGCTTGGTGCAGTGCCCAAGGCTCCGTGCTGGGGGTGTAGGGCCCACAGACACCCCAAGAAAGGGTGCCGCTCCCCATCCTCCAGCTGAGACATAGCCCAGGCAAGGCCTGAGACAGGAGGACCAAATCCCCAACGGCCAAGAGGGGCCCTGCAACCAGGACGCCCTGCCGGGGCCCTGACACTCAGGGGCTGCCTGTTTCGGGAAAGCTGGCCTTCTGTCCCTCAAGGGATTCGACAAGGCACACGCGAGGATATATAACGGCCACGCAGGCACACGTATGTGCTGGTGCCACAAGACACGTATGTATGCCTATGTGCAGACACGCTGCGGCCGCCACCCTGGCTCGCCTGCCACCCACCCACCACCACACAGCTGAGAACACAGAGGCCTCGCTGTTGAAACCCACGTGCCCAGGGTCACACGCCCAGAAGGCGCGTCCCTGCACGGGAACTACCGCGCACACACACACACATGGCCCTACACTGTCTGCCCCCGATCCTGCAGGCAGGAAGGAATGGGGAAAGGCCTTCCTGGGGGTGCTGTCCCTCCCAGGCCGGCCCAGCGTCACCTCCCCAGGGCCCAGGCCATCTGTCCCTTCAGACCAGCACACCTGCAGGTCCCGAGCCCTGGCCCCTGGCTGCTCTCGCAAACAGGCCTGGACGCAGCCTGGCCAGGGGCCAGGGCCCCACCCATGCATTTCCCAGGGGCCTCTGCCCACCCCCCCAGTCCGGGAATGCGGCTCAACGAGTCCCTGGTGGTGGCTGCCTGTGAGTGCAGGCCCCTGCGGTTGCCCAACACGAGATGTTATCGCCCACTGCACCCTTCATTAGCGGTGCAGGGTCAGGGGGAACACCCCTCCTGCCCGTGGCAGAACCACTCTGGGGTCCGAGCTGAGCCCTTGCCTGAGGCCAGCCGGGCCTGGCGCCAGCCCGATCTTCCTGGCAGTACTGCGCCAGGCGGCAGGGCCCAGAGCTGCGCCACAGCTGCGCAGAGGGGCGCCGGGCTGACGGCTCACACTCCGAGCAGTGCTGTTCAGCTACCTGACCCTCAGAGCCCACAGTCACAGCCACCGCCACCTGGGAGCCCTCCTCATAGGGGTCTGCCCAGTGTGTGTGGGGGTCAGGGCCCCAGGGGCAGGTAGCGTTGGCTTGTCCCAGGCAGGGCCGCCTATTCCAGGGAACACGGAGGACATGGGGTGCAGGCAGGGAACACAGCACGCCCCCACCCCCACCCCGCAGGAAGACAGGTCCTGGGGACAAGCAGAACAAGCTGTGCGGCTGCTCTGGGCACACAGCCCTTGGCCAAAGGCTGGAGATGAAGATCAGGGAGCGGTCAGGTGGGTCTCTCCTTGGCCAGCACTCGCCTGCCCGCCTGGCACCAAGGACAGAGGGCAGCAGTGATGCCGTACATGGGCTCTGGACTTGGCAAAGTGTGCAACCCAATGCCTGCCCCTGGCTGGCTTCAAGACATCCCCAAGCTCCACTCCTCCACCCTCGCTGGCATGGGACATGAGGCCGGGACAAGAGCCAGCCCAGCCCTGGACCCCGGAGAAGGCCTGGACCCCCTGGGCTTGGCTTATCCTATACCGTGAGCTCCAAGCACAAACGCGTCAACGCCAGGGCCACAGCCAGGGGCACAGCCAGGGCCACAGCCAGGGGCACAGCCAGGGCCATGGCGGCCAGGGGGCACAGCCAGGGCCGCAGCCAGGGCCACAGTCAGGGCCGCAGCTAGGGCCACAGCCAGGGCCGCAGCCAGGGCCGCAGCCAGGGCCGCAGCCAGGGCCACAGCCAGGGCCGCAGCCAGGGCCGCAGCCAGGGCCGCAGCCAGGGGCACAGCCAGGGGCACAGCCAGGGCCACAGCCAGGGCCACAGCCAGGGACGCAGCCAGGGCCGCAGCCAGGGCCACAGCCAGGGGCACAGCCAGGGCCACAGCCAGGGCCACAGCCAGGGCCATGGTGGCCAGGGGCACAGCCAGGGCCACAGCCAGGGCCTTAGCCAGGGCCACAGCCAGGGCCACAGCCAGGGCCACGGCGGCATGGGTGGGGTCCAGCTGGCGCTCTTGTTTTTCAGCAAGAACGGCCAGGCAGAGGAGACAGTACAACACGGGCAGCCATGCGACATGGCATCTGTGGCACCGCCCCCAACCCCGACTGGGGCTCCAGCTCAACGGGGAGGCATCGGTGTGGGTGCTGCAGGGAGCCCCATTCCATCAGGGCCGAGTGTGCAGAACCACACGGTACAGAGAGGGGAAGGGGCCCCTTGGGCTGCCACGGGTCAGAGACCAGCCTCGGGCCCTGGGCCTTCCAGCCTCCACTGGCCGTGGTTTCCGGGAACGCCAGCTCCCGGCCGTCTGCCTCGAGGGGCCCAGGCAGAGAACACGGGGCTCATGGTCCATCTCCCCGATACAGACGCCGCTCAGGAAGGCGGGTGGGAAGCCCAGCCGGTGCCCACATGGCCGAGAGCGTGTGCCAGGAGGAGGCGGTGCGGGGTCCCCGTCCAGCGCCACGGCCTACCTTCCCGCTTCATGCCCATGGCCAGGCACTTCTGGTAGCGGCAGTACTGGCACCGGTTCCGCTGCCGCTTGTCAATCAGGCAGTCCTTGTTGTCACGGCACGTGTAGGTCAGGTCCTTGCGCACCGTCCGCTTGAAGAAGCCTTTACAGCCTTCACAGCTGTACACGCCATAGTGCTTGCCTGGGGGGGCAGGGGCAGGCAGGGCTGCTGAGCGGCCACTGGGCGGGGACCCCCTGCACCCAGACCCGGCACAGTGCAGCTGTACACGCCATAGTGCTTGCCTGGGGGGTGGGGAGCGGGGGCAGGCAGGGCTGCTGAGCGGCCACTGGGCGGGGACCCCCTGCACCCAGACCCGGCACAGTGCAGCTGTACAAGCCATAGTGCTTGCCTGGGGGGGCGGGGCAGGCAGGGCTGCTGAGCGGCCACTGGGCGGGGACCCCCTGCACCCAGACCCGGCACAGTGCAGCTGTACACGCCATAGTGCTTGCCTGGGGGGTGGGGAGCGGGGGCAGGCAGGGCTGCTGAGCGGCCACTGGGCGGGGACCCCCTGCACCCAGACCCGGCACAGTGCAGCTGTACACGCCATAGTGCTTGCCTGGGGGGTGGGGAGCGGGGGCAGGCAGGGCTGCTGAGCGGCCACTGGGCGGGGACCCCCTGCACCCAGACCCGGCACAGTGCAGCTGTACAAGCCATAGTGCTTGCCTGGGGGGGCGGGGCAGGCAGGGCTGCTGAGCGGCCACTGGGCGGGGACCCCCTGCACCCAGACCCGGCACAGTGCAGCTGTACACGCCATAGTGCTTGCCTGGGTGGGTGACAGGGCTGTGGAGCAGGGCCCAGCAGAGAACCGCCAGTCAGATGCATGGGACACTGAGGCCCAGGGCCAGTGGGCAGGTAGCAAGCGGGCACCCTCCACAGGTCGCCGGGGGCTGCAGCCAAGACTGGCCAGATGCCTGGATGTCCTGGGCTCCTACCTACTCCCCACGCACACTCAGCCCACCACAAAAGAGGTCTCCTCGCCCCCGCCTCACCGTGCCCCCGGAGCAAGGCAGACGCCCTTGCACCTGCCCTGTCCGCGCGAGGACAGAGCTGGCCTGGGAGGGAGCCCCCGCCCCGCGCTGGGCCCGGGTCTACCTGAGGAGCGGTCCCCGCAGATGGCGCAGATGTGTTTCGTGAAAGACGCCATGTTTCCCGAGGGGTGGGTGGGGACTTTGAGGACGCCATTGAGGCCTAGTGGGGGCTTGATGTCCTCACTGCTGCTGACAGGGTTCATGGGCGAGTTGAGCTGCAGAAGGAGGGGTGCCCGGGTGAGGCAGGTGCCCGCAGGGGGCGGCCCCTGACACCCTGCTGACAGCCCTGTGGCCAACAGGGCACAGCCACACAGTCGAGCCCAAGGAGGAATCCATATGCCTGGCTCGGGCCCGGAAAGGCTGTCCTGCCCCCCCCAAAAAAAGCCCTGTACGTGGCGGGCTCCATGGAGGACCCCAATCCTGCTCACAGCCCCCACCCATCACCCACAGCCTCCCACCTCCCAATCCCCAGGGCGTGGCAGGTGCACAAGGGACCCCTGGCCCACAAAGCAGACCACAGAGGCCCCCATGGAGGGAGGGAAAGAGAGAGAGGCGCCAGGCTCCCTCAATGCCCTCGTCGCGAGGCTTGGGGGCGACAGCGTACCCCCTCTGGGCATCTGGCAGCCAGGACACCGCTCTGCCCCGCCCCCAGGGCCAGCGTGGGAACTCACCCGGTCACCCTGGCAACAGCTGCCGCGTCGCAATGACACAGCAGTTTTGGTTCCGCACCTCGCAGCCCAGCTCTGCAGTCAGCGCCCAGGGCCGGGAGGCACCTCCCGCTGCCTCCCGCCGCCGCCTGCGCCGCCGCCTGCCAGCCGTCTGCACGCACTGGGCGGCGGCAGGACCCCAGCAGCAGCCCCCCATCCCCACTTCTGCAAACCCCTGCCGACTTGGAAAGCTGCTGACTCCCCAGGGGCCGCCCGCGGCTGGCTCCAGGCCACCTCCTGCAGGGGGAGGGGGCACCGAGCCAGTTTCCTTCCTCTGTGCTTCCAAGCCCCATCCCCCCTTCTCACAGGACAGGAAGCGCTCCGTGCTGGGCGAGCGGCAGGAGGCACCCCAAGCCTCCCTTCGCGCTGGCCCCCCGGGGCATGCAGGGGTGCTGGAAGCCAGCAGGACCCACGGAGCAGGACTTAGGCCAGAGTGGGGCAGACAGATGCAGGCCTCCAGCACTGCACCCCAAGCACACCCTGCTGGCCCCAGAGGTGCCCTTAGCTTGGACAGCCCTGGCTTCTCCTGGCACAGGGAGCCCCGGGAGGGGGAGCAGAGTTGCCCTCCTATTTCCCAGCTGGGGGTGGGGTCCCTGAGGTCGGGGCAAGAGTGGGAGCTGCCCAGAGTCCAGGTCCTCGCCTATCACATGAGGCTCTCAGCCCCCCGCCCGGCTCTGAGGGGCTCCCCGAGGCCACAGAGGCTGGGGAGGGGAGCCAGGGCCATTCCAGGGGTCTGGGAGTGAGCTGGCGTGCAGGACCTCAGCTGACAGTCTGCCTGGTCCATTCTGGGGTGACATCAGCACACAGGCCCCAGCACACAGCACCCAGGCAGGGTCCCCCCTCTGAGGTCCGCTGTGAGGGGCCACCTGGGGGCTGCTTGGAGCACAGCCGGGACCGGCAGTCGGACCCGGCAGTCGGGACCCGGCAGTGGCGCCATGTAGGCTAGCGTGCGAGGCCCCAGCTGGACGCCCAGCTGACCTCGGCACGCGGAAGGCGGCTGCCCAGGCAGGCAGAGACTGGTGAGAGCCCCTCTGGGAGGGGGTCACGTCCGAGCTGTGGGGAGGGGGACCACAGGAAGCTGGAGGCCCAGCAGGCAGGGTCAGGGCCCAGCAGGCAGGGTCAGGACCCGCTCAGGCTTTGCACGGAGCCGCCCTGGCCTGGGACAGGCAGAAGCTGGGAGCTAAGAATGGGCATGCACCCTGTGTGGGAACAGGCGCTGCCTGCACGGGGAAACTGAGGCATGGTCCGAGCAGGGGGAAGGGCAGGTGGTGGCACAGAGGCACAGGGCAGCCCCACTTGTCCAGAGGCAGCTCCTGGGCCATGGCTGGAGCAGAGTGAGGCCAGGCCAGGCCACCACCCTCGCCGCAGGCCCGAGGCCACCCGGACCCCCGACTCCCCAGCTTCGGGACACCCTGACCCTGCAGGGCCCAGTGGTCAGGCGTGACCACTCACCTTCTCCCACACTCCCTGCACCGTCTCCCGACAGACCCAGGATGCTGGGAGCCTCGCACATGTGACCAGGGTGGGGTCTGCCCTGTTTCCCCTTTCGGAGCCTTGGCACTTATTTCAGTTCCCACCTCACTCAAGCCCCACCCGGGCGGTGGGGGGCACACACCCACCACACCCCTCCTTCCCAAGCCCAGGGCAGCCCCCAGTCAGGAGGCCCCAGTGAGCCAGCAGGAGCTGCCCGAGGGCCTCCAGGGCCTCCGTCACCCACCAGGCCAGCCCAGGTGCCGCTCCCGACCCGTGCAGGCCTGGCACGGCACACAGCTCTCAGGCACACACTCTGCCCACGTGCAGCTGGCGGGGCCCTCGCAGTCCACGGCTGAGACCCACCCGGGCAGCACAGGGTCTTCCCAAGGAGTCCGGGCCTGGCTCAGGGCACATGGCAGCACAGAGGGGAGCAGGCAGAGCCGGGCAGAAAGCCAAGCCCGCCCTGACAGTGGCCGGAGTCAGAGGACAGCACGGGCTCCGGCAGCTCTGCCCCTGTGGTTGTGGGGCTGCGGTTTTGGGGCTGGGGCTAGGGGCACGTGTTGTCCCCCCACACCCGCCCGGAACCTCCACCCACACTCCCACGAACATGAGGAACCACAGGTTTCCAAGACAAACGGCTCAAACCCGGAAACCAGCCCCAAGGTCCTGGAGGAAGTGTGGGCCCCGCGGGGGGTGGACGGCCAGCAGCCGGGCACGGGCATCTCTCGGAGGCCAAGCAGCCACGTGCAAGCTGACTGCGGAGGGCAAGAGGGCTGAGGCATGCTGGCACTCTCCCATGGGCACCTGGGCTCTGGCACACGTGTGAACAGAAGGGCTATAGCCCTGCAGACCTACTGGGTGCTCCTAGGACTGCTGGCAGAATCATGCCATGGCCAGGTGGGCACCCCAGGATGCAAAGCCCTGCAGGGCCTTCAGCTCAGTCCCTCCTTCTCCATGGAGATGCACAGCCCATGGGCATGCAAGACACGCGGCTGAGCTACTAGCCAGCAAGGTGCCCCAGGGGACCTGCCACTGGTTCAAGTACCAGCCAGGGCAGCCAGGAAGTGATGGAGGCAGAGACTGCCACCAGCTCCCCAGTGCCTACCGGCATCAGAAATCCAGCAAGAGCCAGGCCGGGCAGCCATGCTGCCAACAGTCAGGCCTCCTTCAGATGGCACCTGTGCCTGTGCTCATCTCAGATCTCAGGGGAGGGGACAGGGCTGTGACCTTCTGCATACAGCCCCGAGTTTTAGGGGGACTGCTCCAAGACATGGGAGAAGGCCAAGGCCAGGCCCCACTCGACAGGAAGTGGTTGACCCCAGACCCCAATGTGCCCCAGGTGCTCTGGAGTGGGAGCGCCCTGGGCACGACTGGCAGCGCTGGCCATGTGGCTCTAGGCAGGGAGGAGCCCCTGTGGGCAGCTGGAGCCCCCAGTGCTTAGGGGTGGGCCAGCGGCTGAGCCAAGCTGGGAGGAGCAGCAGGGGCTGGCGCTGGTCAGGGGACCAGGACCAGGGGTTAGGGAGAAGGGCCCCCAGGGTCCTCTCGCAAGGGCCAGCCGGGCACGGCCATAGTGCGGCCAGTGCTAGAACAGAGACCAAGCAAATCGCAGGCAAGGCAGCGGTACCCAGCAGATGGGAGGTGTCACCAAGGAGTCCACCAGGGACCACTGTGGAGCCTGGCGCCATCGTGGGCACTACGCCTGGACGTGGCCGCCGTGGCAGGACAACCACCGGCCCAGGGGTGAGCAAAGAAGTGACAGGGAGGACCCCTCACCTCTGTTCCAGAGCTCAGGACCCTACAAGTAGGGAGCATCAGCCCAGGGAGGGAGGGTCCACCTGCTGTGTGCACTGCCCCGAGGGGTCCAGGCCCTGGAAGAAGGACGGCACAGCCCCTCGCCTGGGACACGGGCTGGCAGTGCCTCCTGCCGGAAGCCCCAGCCCAGGCCGCCCTTGGTCCTGCCCCTCCACCCCACCCAGCACTCACCTGGGGGCTGCCAGTGCCAAAGCCCAGGGTGGGCGTGGTGGGCACGGACATGGAGTGGGGGCCCACGGGAGGGCTGATGACCGAGAAGGGCGGGCCCATGCCGTTGATGGGTGAGTGCAGCTGCCCAGCGGAGCCGAGCGCCGAGCCCAGGCCCGGCCCCAGGGACGGGTGCAGGGAGGGCGCAGCCATGGAGCCCCGGCCCGTCGGGGAGTTGAGGGGCGAGGAGGTCACCGGGCTGGAGAAGTCTGGAAGAAAGAAGCCGGGGTCAGAGGCAGGGTCAGAGGACCCCAGCCACTCGCTCACACAGCCTGCTACCCACCCACACAGAGCCGGACCCCCAGGGCCGACCCAGGGCAGTGCCCAGCAGTCAGGGGACCAGCAGGGGGTCTGAGATCAAAAGGAATTTCGGCCAATGCCTGTAGAACCACAGCTGCTCAACAGGAACTGGTCTGACCCCAGGGCTGACAGAGGCCTGGGCTGGGAGCCCACAAGTGGGAACGCACGCCGCCATCCAGGCAGGGCCAGGCTGGTCAGCACCGGCCGGCCCCGTTCAGGTCCATGGCAGGGGCAAGGAAGACAGCCGACCATCAAGCCCCTTGGACCCCACGCACCAGGGTCCTGTGTGGACAGGGCACTTCCGGGGAGGCTCCCCGGGGGGCACTGGCACCCCCACCTGACACACGGCTACAAGTTTCCCCACTCCAGGTGCAAGCTCCCAGGCTCCAGGAGGCAGATCTGCTGCCCACTGGCTGGGCCAGACCGAGCGGAAGCACACGGGGTCCCCGGTGCAGACAAGCACAAAGGTTGCAGTCCCCTGAGCCCAGCACGGCCCCCACCACTCAGCGTGAGGATGCGTCCAGCACCCCCCACCCAGCAGGAGCAGGCCTGGACCCGAGCCCCCACCAGCACGCTGGGAGCAGGAGCATCAGGCGGGAGGGCCAGCAGCTGCCACCTGTCCGGCTTGGGGTGCTCTGCCGGCAGGCCTCATGGGACCCCTGCAGTGCCCTGGGACTAAACCAAGTAGCTGAACTTGACCAATGGAAACAACTGCAGTCTGATGGTGGCGGAGCCCATTGGCAGAGAACGGTACTGCAAACCGGCCCTATTAGCCCTCACCCCAAGGGCCCCACAGCCAGGCCCTCAGGGAAGGCCAGCCAGGGGGCAGCAGCCAGCCAGGGGGCAGCAGCCAGCCAGGGGGCAGCAGCCCTAAGAGATGGGCAGATCAGGCCCCTCACGGAACCCTGGGACCCTGTTGGGGAGAATGGCACCATCACTGTGGCCCACACACAGCAGGAGAAGAGAGGGCCTGAGACGGCTGGTCTGGTCACAGCCTCACCCACGCCACCTGTCACGGTGCACAGGGCAGCCCTGCTGGCCCCCAAGCCCACACAACTGAACTCTGGGCTAGGCCTGGCCCTACTTCCTGTGCAACCCAGAGGAGCCCCCAGCTGGGGGGGAACAGGAAGCTGACTGCCCGTAGGGTCCTGCCGTGGCCCAGGACCCTCCACCCACCATCCAGCCGAGCAGAGATGCCAGCTTCTCAGCTGCCACCTTGGCTCAAGCACACCCGTAGAAGAGCCAGGCGGGTGGGCCAGGAGGGAGTCCTGTGGCACAGGCTGGAAGTTACCCACCACAAGGGAGACCCACAGGGTCCCCGAAACACTCCTGGGCTTCTGAGGCCGCAGGGTAAACAGCCATGGGACAGCCAGAATACCAGGAAGCAGGGAGGAGAGCCTGCACCTGCCTGCCAGCTACTGCCAGACTGCACCCCAAACTTTCCCTGCTCCCCAAGACACTGCCCCATCCAGGCCGAGACTGCAAATGTTGGAGACAGGCGGAGGAGGCAAGCCACCAGGAGGGGCTCTGAGAAAGGAAGCCGTACCTCCACCCGAGCTGCCCCGGACAGGGGCACAGGCCCGCAGGTCCGGCCAATGCTCCAAACAGAACCGCAGGGGACGCTCGGGCACCCCGGTCTCCGCCCCAGACCCCCACGCCTGGGCCCTTCCTGTTTACAGGCAGACACCTTCCCCGGCCTGGGTGACAATGGGCTGGGTGTGTTTTCTGGAATCTTCTGCAAGAGATACGCTTTGTGGCCAGGAAGGGAATGTTGAAAAGAAAACACGAAAATCACCCGGATGTCCTCCGCCTGTCCCCTCCGGGCGCCCCACGAGCCCGCACGTGCACCCACTTCCCGCACCGCTGTGCCCTGGCCAGGGCCAGACCAGACTCTGAGAACATCACACTCGAGCTAGGGCCACGGCCACAGCCAAGTGCAGCCTCAACACCTTGGGCTCAACAAGGGCACCTGAGGGGGCTGGGACCAGGGCAGCCAAACCCGGCACACAGGGCCTCCAGGCCCTAGACCCACACAACCCCTGGGCCTGGGGGACTGGCCCTGGGGGAGGAGGTGCTCTCACTGGCATCGAAGCCATGCCAAACGGGTTCCAGGAGGGTGTTGGGGGCGGTGGGGACTAAGACTGCTGTCACCAAGGCCTTGCCCCGCCACGGCACAGGCCACCTGCCCACAGCACCCAGGGCTGCCTCATGAGCCCTCACCCCCACGAGGCCTCCACCTCACGGGGTGCCCCTGGAGTACCCACCAGGCCCACAGCCCTTCCATGCCCCTGGGGCCCCGTCACAGGAAACTTGGGGAACCCCCCACCAACTCCCTTCCTGCCAGAGGTGGGCACAGGAGACAGCAGGAAACGCTGGCCCAAACCAGGCGGGGCGGGGGTAAGCCCCCAGCTGGGCACTGGGGAGCCCCCCACCCCCACTCTCAGTGGGCAAAGCTCAGCCCCGTGGTAGGAACAAGCCCACCATGGCAGGATGCCAGGTAGCCACTGGCTAGATGGTGAGGGGACCATGGTGGTCACCCAAACCAGGGTCCACGGAGACCACGGGAGCTCCTGAATAGGACGGGGCAGGGGACATGACACGGGTGGCATGGACCAAGGGGCATGGGAGCTGGCGCTTAGTACAAGGGCTCCTACCTCCACCCTGCCTGGGGACACCCCCAGAACCGAAACCAGACGGCGGGCCACTCATGAGTCCCGGGGCTGTGGGAATGCCCACCTCCGGCCCCAGCCTTCTGGAAGTACTGCTTCCCTGTACCCCACCCCCGCCCCTGGAGGAGGCAGAAGTGGCATGGCTGGAGACGGCTGAGGGTGGAGGGCAAGCAGCACCAGGAGGGAGGAAGTGCCACAGACCCCGGGGTGAGGAGGTGCTGGCCCTGGAAGGGACTCCCACCCACCCCAGCCAGCCACCATGCCCACCCCTCCCTGTCCAAGCAGTGCAGCACAGCCCTGGTCTTCGCCTCCGTAAGGTGGGCATGCCGTCGATGGAGACAGCTATTCCAGGCTCAAGCTCGGCTCCTCCCACCCAGCCCGCGGCCCTGGTCCCCAGGCCACTCGCTTCTGAAAGGATGACAGGGTCAACCTGGCCAGCCTCCCCAGGAGCTCCCACACAGGGCCCAAGGCAGGCAAGCTTGGGGCACCCTGCAGAGAGGGTCAAGGTTAAGGTCCCCAAAGTCCATTGACTGGCAGGGCCATGGGCTGGCACCTATCAGGGTGCCAACACCCAGCCTCCTGCTGCCCTGTCCGGCTGCCAGGACCCACATGAGGGAGGAGCTCACTATATGGTCCTGAGTCTCTTGGGCAGCTAGTATGGACCTTCGTCTCCAGAAGGGAACAGATGTGTCCCTGGGATCCCGTGTGGGGCAGCGCCAGGCTCCTGCCTGGCTGCTGCCTCTGGGAGCACACACCCACCCCTCCCCTGGATGCTGAACCTGACCATGTGCCCACCCCAACCATCGCAGCCAGCTCCCATGCCGATGTGGACAAAACCCAAGAGGGGTGCCTGGCTGGGCTCACCTCCACTGACCCTCCTCCTGGGCCTTGGAAGGCTCCTCCGTGAGGAACCAGTGGCTGGCTGGGAGGAGGGCCGGGCATGTTGACAAAGGGCCTGGGGTAGGCAGGCTGCTCACCCCCAGGGATGAGCACGGGGCGGGGGGAGGGCCACATCTCGCCCTCCTTCAGGTCTTAGCTGACTCCAGGATGCAGGGAGTTGGCACACAGGCTCCTCATGCAGGCAGAGCCATCCTGGCCCGAGGGTCCAGCCAGTGAACCTTGCCCAGGAACAGAGCAAAAGTCTGTGAACACATCCGGTAAGCACACAAACCCATCTATACCTCATTATGCCATCCTCAGCACCACCATCACCATCATTATCATCGCCATACAAAACAATGGTGTTGGTGCTGGTGTTAATGGAGCTGGTGATGATGGTGGTGGTGATGGTGATGATGGTGATGGTGGTGATGATGACGGTGGTGATGGTGGTGATGGTGATGGTGGTGATGGTGGTGATGATGACAGTGGTGATGGTGGTGATGACGGTGATGGTGGTGATGATGGTGATGGTGATGATGGTGATGATGGTGGTGATGGTGGTGATGGTGGTGATGGTGGTGATGGTGGTGATGGTGGTGGTGGTGATGGTGATGATGGTGGTGGTGATGGTGGTGATGGTGATGATGGTGGTGGAGGTGATGGTGACGATGATGGTGGTGATGGTGGTGGTGATGGAGGTGATGATGACAGTGGTGATGGTGATGATGCTGGCATGGATGCTAACAGGATACTGATGGTGGAGCAGTACTGAGCTGATGGTGGCAATGTGGCCCACTCAGACAGCCCACGAGTGTAGACAGGAGGCTGAAGCCCACAGGAGCTGGCAGGCTCATCCCCATAGCAAAGGCATGGTGGTGTTCAGGTTCCCTAGCAGACCTGAGATCTGGCCAGAGGCAGGGGGAGAACAGGAAGTGGCGCCCACCCACACCTACTGCCAGGGGTGCTGTGGTCAGACCCAGTGGTGGCAGGTGCGGCTGGCGCCCAGCCACAAGGAGGGAAGTGGGGAGCACAGCCAGGAGGAAGGGGTGGTTGGGGAGCAGGCCGGGAGCTGTCAGCACCTGCACCCAGGCGGCGTTCCAGGAAACAGCTGAGGGTGTCTGATGCCAGCACCCAAGGCACAAGGGCCTGGGTCCATGCCGCGGGCAGCCCCTCCATGCCTGCTCCCCAGGACACCCAGCGTCCACAGCAGCCAGGCCAGGTCCAGTACTCAGGGCATGAAGCCCCAGGTCCAGCCAGCCACCTGTCTCATGTCACTGAGCTCACACAGACGGAACCTGTGGGAGCCCCTGCTCGGGTCGCCCACTAATCCCAAGGTGTCAGAACCACCACAGGACAGG